GATTGTCCTTCCTCATGCTTGGGAAAACGCCTGGTGGGTGGGGGACGCCCCTCATCTACCTGGCTTTGTGTTCACGTAATAGTCTTGTGATTTGATTGGGATTGTCCTTCCTCATGCTTAAGGAAACACCTGGTGGGTGGGGGGAATGTGCCTCATCCACCTGGCCTTGTGTTCACGTGAAAGTCTTGTGATTTAACATGTGAAAATTTGAGATAAAAGACTTACAGTTGGTTCCATTAAATGGCTTCTGCTCATTTCACTGAACAGTTGTCCACTTTCTTTCTTTCTCTTTATATCTATCCCTCCATCTTTCTTTCAATATCTATCCCTACTACAGAATCGGCTTCTGCACTAGACAGAGTCCAGTCTCTCTTTTTCTTTATTTCTCCAGAATAATCGCCGACGCTGCCCCCTCTTCCAGGGACCCTCTAAATCTCTCTGAAGGGGTTCTCAGAAGTGACAACAAGTAAAACTGGGATGAGTGAGGCCAGTGAGGTTTCCAGGCACCTACACTTCAATGAAAGTAGATGATTTCTCAACAAAGCAAAATTTTCAGCAGGGCTTATTTTATTTCCTTTCTTTCTCAAGTGTCTTTCTCTTGATAGCCACAAATGCATACTTGTCTCAGGATGAGAAAAAGAGCAAAGAGTGTTTGTAATTAAGGTTGGAACCACTTTTAACAACTCATTCTTTAGTGTATTTTAGTGGGATCATTTTAGGAGTTGGCAGATGACATGCCGTTGAAATACTTATAAGAATATCTAACATTGATTGGATACCTATTTTGTGCCAAGTATTGCACTAAATATTTTGTTTTCCAAAAAGAAATGTAATTTTAAATATAGTTGATGTTAGGTATTTTTCTCTCAGCAAACTGAGAGAAAAATGTCACTAGCAATGGCTGGTTGACATTCTTGTTGGGGGAGAGGGTGGGAAAATAATAGGACTGTAAGGGACTAGTGATGGCAGGATCTGACGTCTAAGTGTGGTCACAAGGTAATGCAGGTAATGCAGTAAGGTCTTAGTTTCCAAAGTGCTTGGAAATTCTGAGGGTAGAGTGTGGTAGCCTCAGGAGAAAGGCTGTGGGCTTCCTATTGCTCACGGCACAGGGAGGCTTGGGTAACAATATGATACGATATAACATATAATTCATATTGTATGATGCTGTTGATATCTTAAATTAGGAAAGCAACAAGGATCAGTTGTAGTAACCTAAGTTCCTTTGGCAACCACTTCATCCCTGGCAGTGATACTGGCAATACTCTGCCTGGCTTCCCTGGATCTCTTCTATAGTTTCTATAAAATCACTTGTCTGCCCACCAGGCTTCAGTGTGCTGCTTTCCCCAGCAGTTCATATCTCTACAGATGACTGCCTTTGAGGTTACTGGAGATACTCTGCATGCAGAGAGACTGAGTCCTCTCTGTTGGCTGTAGGAAAGGCCATTTCCTTTGTCTTAGGTCAGGACAACTCTGAGATGCAACTTATACTCTAGAGCTCCCTGCAGGATCAAGCTGAAGATGCTCTTCATGTAAGATCCCGCCCATGCTTGGATTCTTCACTTTCCCTTTCTTTCCCCATTCTCTTACCCATCTCCCTCAGGAACACTTCCCTAATAAGTCACTTGTACACAAACCCTAATCTCAGGGTCTGCTTCTGGAGAACTCAGCATAAGATTCTTCCTGGGGATATATTTGCTATGGTGGTGGTGGTGGTGTGTGTGTGGCCTTGGACTCTTTGTGATGAGCTACAACTTCATCAGCTTCTTTGCATATCTCCACCCTAGACAGGACACATTCACACTCACTTACGTTTTCTTCCAGGGAAGTCAGCTGCTCATCCAGTCTCACTTGGTCTGTCCCATGAGGAAACGTCCCCTTCTCTCTGTCAGGAGGAACTGGTTGGAACTCCCAGGGCCCTGAAGACTCTGCTATCAATTCCTCCGTGGCATTGATGACTTTCAGGACTTCTGTGGAGATGTTGCAGAGAGAAACAGCAGAATACTTCTGTTTGGTCCAATAACAGAAGGGGACAGAAGACAAGAACAGCACATTAACAATGACACAGAAATTCTATGTTATCATGACACTCATCATCATGAGATTGATTCTGTAATACCACATATAACACCCATGTGCTGAAGGAATGGGAAGATAAAAATCCACACAGCAGAAGGAAACTTAGAGGAGGCCTGACTTGAGTTGGCTTAGTTTCTGTGATTCACAATGAATTATTTCAGATTCTCACAGATGGAGTGAGAAAGGAGAGCCTGAGTGGAGACTATATGTCTTCTGCCTACTACTGATAGTTTAATATCTATTATCTCATTTTCTGGGTGATATTCTACTTCATCAACATGACTTCAGTCTCTGACTCTGTCAAAATATATCTATCGTATAGTATAGAGCAGGAGTTAGAAGACCTGGGCTTCAGGTCTGGCTCCAAATTCATCCAGTATGGGACCTTGGCCAAGCTATTTCCCATTTCTGGAACTCATTTTTGTCAACTATATAAGTGAAATTACTGGAAATAGTTTCTCTGTAGTCTATTGGTAGACACTGTATTAGCTCACATACCTATTCTCAAGTCCACCCTCCCTTGCTTTCCTCTACCATGGAGGTGAACAGAAAAATACTCCATTTCAGTCTCCCTTGAAGCTAAGAGCAGTCATGTGACCAATGAGCTTGAAAGGGAAGACTACTGAGGGGTTTTTTGAAAGGCTTTTCTTTTCCTAATTGGGGGAACTAATGCATCTGATGTTCCTCTCTTTCCTCTACCCCCCAACTTGTTTCTACCTGGAACATAGAAGTGCAGCCTATTTGCAACAAGAGTGAGAATGAATGCTAAACTGCAATATGAGATGGGTCAGAAAGACTGAAAGAGCCTGGGCCCAGAGAGCATTGGATTAGCTGACCCACTGGGAGTCACCACCTTCCTCTGAACATCTAATTACATGAAAACAAATTACCCCTCATCTGTTGAAGCCACTGTCGGACAGGTTTTCTGTTATCTGTGGCTGAACATAATCCTGACACAGGTCACTTCCTACGTTTTACTCAAGGCTCAAAATTCCAGTCAGTTCAGATTTGGGTCAAGGCTTAATGGAGCAGAGGCACTTCAACCACAAAGAATGATCAGCATCTTGAGTTCATCTGAACATACAGCATCCTGCAATAAGCTGTAGACTGACCTTGCCTGGCAGTCATGGTTTCCATCTATGAACAATTTTTGTGTATTCCATCCTAGCATTTGTAAAATGGGAGTTAAATACTGCCTATAGGTATGTTTGTTTGACCCATAAAGTATTTCATGGAAACCTGGAACTGTAATGTCTTTGGGATATGACCTTCCAAGGTACCTATCTGATTCATAAATCCTGGTCAACATAGTAATGATAGCTATGACTTGCTTTCCCAAAGTGTGTTCCTCCAAGTGAATTCTATTTGCAAGTCTTGTCTCATTAGAGGAGGTTTCCAGTAGCCTTCACACTTTACTATATAATCAAAGGGGCTAAGTGACAAGTTAGTAGTGGGCGAGTCTACAGTTCAGAAGCTGACTCTGAGATTTGCCACTGAGGTATGTGATCTCACACCTTTAACCTGTCCTGGGGTTAGGGCACCTGTGCCCAGAGGTTCTTCTCTCTAGCCTGTCTGTTCCACAACAGTTGCCTGGTGTTCCAGCTTTTTTTCTCCACTGGGAAATACAAATGAATCCATAGCAACTTCTCACCTGTAAGGAATTGAGTATTTCTCGTGTATTATCTGGGAATGGGCTATTTTATGGGACCTTGGGTGGGAGTAGATCATGAACCTGTTGGAAGATGAGATAACTGGGATTTAATTCGCTGTATGACCACAGTGGGCACACAGTTTCCCTGTTTTTTAGTGTGCTCACTGGCCCAGTAAAAAGAGATCAGAAGATTTCTTACGGGGCTAATGCTGACATGTCATGTAAATGTCCAGTTCCCTTCCCAGTCTATAGAAGAGTGGAAAGTACCTCCTACAACTATGTTGAAAAAGCTATATTTAAAACTTGTTTAGATGAAAAGCTGGTGGAGACTCAGAGATGGCTGACAGGGAGCCCTGTGTATGGGAGAAATAAAAAGCTAAAAGATCCTTCCTGCTTCTGTTGCTCACAACCCCAGAGGGACCAGCTGAATGGCACAAACAAAGCATGAGTCCAGAGCCAGACAGAGAGCTCCATTCTGGTAGCTATTTACTCCAGATATTAATTATAAGGCAGATCAAATGTGAGTTTCATGGTAATGAATAAGGGAGAGGTGAAAGTGTGGAGAAGATCAGTTGACAGAGTAGGAGGCTTTGCATAACGGGAAAGTGGACCTCAAAGATACTTGCTGCCAAGCAACCCACAGATGACGGAATGAAAATGACCGGTAAATACATGTAACAAAATTCAATCTTCTAGTGATCAAATAAATACAAATTAAACAACAAAAAAATTTAAGTGCCAGATACCTGCATTATTCTCTTTAAAAATGTCAGTTGTAGCCGGGCTCGGTGGCTCAGCCTGTAATCCCGCACTTTGGGAGGCTGAAGTGAGCGGATTGCCTGAGCCTGCGGGTCTGAGACCTGCCTGGGCAACTTGGCGAGACCTCATCTCTAAAATAAAAATCAAAAAATTAGCTGGGCGTGGTAGCGCATGCCTGTAGTTCCAGTTACTTGGAAGGCTGTGGCGGAAGGATCGTCGGAGCCCAGCAGGTCGAGGATGCGGTGGCCGGGAGTGTGCCACTACACTCCAGTCTGGGTGACAGAGTGAGACTCCAACTCAAAAAAATAAAAAATAAATCAATAAAAATGTCAGTTGTATGCCAGTATGCCTTAGCACAGGTAGAACATGTATTTTAAGTTGTTGATCCACCATGGGCATGTGTTTTCTTGCACCCACACTTTCAGTCACTTGATGACTGATGGTCACCTCTGAGATCCCAAGGGTCCACTTCTAGGGTTCAGTCTGTGTCACAGCTCCATGGGGGATACCAAATCAGCTTCATAGTCACTAGGAATGAAACAAACAGTCTACCATTTGGGACCATAGAGGTGAGGAGAAGCATTCTGGTGTTGTAAGCCCACAACAGAACCACATGGGCAGAGGGACAGGACAGTAAGATGCTCTGAGTCTTCTCAGTCTGAGGTGGAGTTTCTTCCATTGCTCATCAATGAGGTAGCAAACTAGTGTCAACCTTCATGAAGACTCATGCTCCCAGCCTGACTCGTAACTAACAATAGCACGGAAGCAGAACTGTGATAAAGGTATTCACCCCTCCAACCTGGGGACTCTGCCACACTGGCCATTTCAATGGATTCAAGAAAAAAGAAGACCAAGGAAGGACCCTTGCATACATGTCAGCTGGAGCGTTTCCTTTCTCTTTAGGGACTGCAGGACAGAGCATGAATGATGTCTTTGCTTTTTGACTTATGACCCCCAAACTTCAGTCTTAGCAATATCACTCTCCTGTGCCCATATGTGCTTTCTAGTCATATAAAACATGGTGCTGGCTAGGTTCAGTAGCTCAGCCTGTAATCCCAGTACCTTGGGATGCTGAGGCGAGTGGATTATGTGAGCCTGCGGGTTTGAGACCAGTCCGGGAAACTTGGTGAGACCTCGTCTCTACAATAAAATAAAAAAATAAGCCAGGTATGGTAGCGTGTGCCTGTAGCTCTGGCTACTTGGAGGGTGAGGCAGAAGGATCTCCACAGTCCAGCAGGTTGACGCCAGGATGGCCGTGAGCATGCCACTGCAATCCAGCCTGAGCAACAGAGTAAGACTCCAACTGAAAATAAAATAAAATAAAATAAAATAAAATAAAATAAAATAAAATAGCCGGGCTCAGTGGCACAGCTTGTAATCGCGTGCCTTGGGAGACTGAGGTGAGTGGATTGCCTGAGCTCACGGCTTCGAGACCTGTCTGGGCAACTTGGTGAGACCTCATCTCTACAATAAATCAAAAAATTAGCCGAGTGTGGTAGCGTGCGCCTGTAGTTTCAGCTACTTGGAAGGCTGAGGCAGAAGGATCGCCGGTGCCCAGCAGGTCGAGGTTGCGGTGGCCAGAAGTGGCCACTGCACTCCAGTCTGGGAGACAGAGTGAGACTCCAACTCAAATAAAATAAAATAAAATAAAATAAAAACAGGATGCTATAATCACATTCTTACTCCATGCACTCTTCCCTTTAAACTACTTTCCAAAGACATATAGAATGCAATGGGTTGCCAGGAAACATGCTAAGCCTATAGAATTCTAAAGGAGAAAATATTTTCATTATAAACACTAGATATACTTGCTCATTAGCAATCCTTGTACATTCTCCTGGGATTTTCCCAGTGTCATCATTCATTTCAAAGCTTTGTGTTGGACAAAGAAATGCAAACTCATTTCGAACAAAAATACATTCTTACCAGAATATCTTATGTTTGTGAACACGTGAATAGCAGAAACATGTTCTAATCATCAGATGCCTGGCTTCATAGAGAGAGACCACTTTGGAATTTAAAAGGGGGAATTCCAGCCCCAGCTCGACCCCGAAACACGTGTGTACCTGTGTGTGTCTGTCTGTCTCAGCTGGACTAAGATGGAGTCGTCTGACTGCGTATGATGAGCTGGCCTGTGCCATGGGTTCCAGGTACCTATTTATGTGATTCAATATAAGTCTCAATGTAATATAATGTGGGCAGAAAAGCTTTAAGGATTAAATGATGTGTATAGGTGTCTAGGGCGAGATTTTCCTAGTTCCACCTTGGGGGCTGTTCTGATATCTATGACAAGAGCAAAAAGGCAAAACAGGTAGAAGCTGAAAGGATCTGGACACTTGCGTTTTTGAGAGATACAGAAGCAAGCAGTATGTTCACCTACCAATCAGGAAACAGAGAGGGGTAGTGTAGAGTCTTGCAAAGGGCCTCCTTACTCATTAGACATAGTAGGCAATCAGCCTACAGCCCATTATTCCTTTAGGGTCCCATGAAAATGTTTTAATTTCTTTTAAAACAGCAA